TTAGATTGTCTGTGTTGTAATTAGTCAATTAAGTTCCTTCGCTGTTCTCACTAGAATGGAGACATATTGGATTGCAAAAGAGGGGTCCCTCTTGAGATGCAAATAGATTTTAAATTTCTTGGACTTTGCAAATCTCCCTATAGCCACAGGGCCAGGAGGAGGAGGTGAAAAGATATCCTCCCCACCACAGACCATCTTAACTAAAGACTGAAACAACATGTCGGCATCTGACTAACATCTCCAATTGTTTTTCTCCTGTTTGCTTTGTAACATCTTGCCTGATCAAGAAGCCCATGGAGCTTCGAAAGCTTGCAACACAGAGTATATTGTGCATTTCAGTTGGCCAATAAAAGTATCACTGGTGGATTATTGTTTGAATTTGCTCAGAGTATGTGTTAGGGAATCCTGGGAATTGTAGTTTATTGTGGCACCAAATGTCTCACAAAACTATATATAAGGAAGTGATGGAAGGTGAGAGTAGGTAGGGGAAGAAATTAAGAAAGAGAGGGAATTAAAGGTGAGGATAAGAAAAGTAAGGGCAGTTGAAGGACATAAAAGAAGGTAATGGAAATGGATGATGAAAGAAATGGTTATGGAAGTAGAAAGATTAAAAATAGAAAGGCTGAGGCTATCAACGAAAGGATGGAACGAGGGAAGACAAGATGGAGGAAAATTATAATATAGATTTAGCTGTAAAAGATGAGTAATTGTTGAATTTCTTTGTTCTAGAGCTGGGTGTTTAATTATTGTGTGCTTTTTCTTTTCTTTTTTTGTTGATGTATGGTTTTAAAGTAGCAACAATAAAATATAAATTTTAAAAAAAGAGAGAGACTGAAAGAAAGAAATTGGCAGCATGAGCTTTCTTAGACTACTTCAGTCTACTTCCTCAGTCTACAAAAGCTCTGCTGCCAATTTCTTTCAGTTAGGGCCTGAACAGCCAGCCAGCCAGCCAGAAATAATCCATCTTGAGACCACTTTAATTCTCCTGGCTCAGTCTTGGGGAATCATGGAAACTGTAGTTTTTTCTGAGGCACTGAGCCTTCTCTGTCAGAGAACTCTGGTGCCACAATAAACTACAGTTCCCGTGATTCCCTAGCACTGAGCCTGGGCAGTTAAAGCGGTCTCAAGGTGGATTATTTCCGCAGTGTGAGGGGGCCTCCCTCCTTCCTGGGGCCTGGCGTGAGGCCTCTCCCCGCCTCTCTCTCTTTCTCTCAGGGGCGGAGTCCTTCCATCCCCGCCTCGCTTTCTTTGTGTGCTTCGGCGGCCGAGGCGAGGCGGAGCGCAGTCGGGAGCTCTGAGGCCGGCGGCAACGTCTTCCCTTCCCCTTCTTCTCGCCCGCCGCCATTGACGCTGAGGCGCCTTAGAGAGCCATTCCTTGCCCCTTTGGCCGTCTCTGCCGCCGCCGCCGCCGCCATGTCGCTGGGCTGCTCTTCCTCCAGCCCTGAGGCGGGTTTCTCCAGCGAGGAGGTGCTGACCCTCCGCTTCCCGCTCCACCGCGCCTGCCGCGACGGAGACCTGCCGGCCTTGTGCGCCCTCCTCCCCGGCGCCTCCCGCGAAGCCCTGGCCGCCGAGGACTCCTTCTACGGATGGACGCCCATCCACTGGGCCGCGCACTTCGGAAAGGTGGGCCGCAGACGACAACGACAACGCCGCCGCCGCCGCCGCCATCTTAGAGCAGCGCTTCTCCCGCCTCGCTCGCCATTCCATGCTCCCCCTTTTCAGGCGCCTCGTCTCGTTTCCCTCGACCAATTTCGGTCCAAAACACACTGCAGAAATAACCCACGCTTGAGACCGCTTTAACTGCCCTGGCT